TAAAAGCCTCCAATACAGGAAACACAGTGTTACCATCCAATCAAGACAAAAAAAGCTACAAAACAGACAGAAGATATTAGAAACACCAATCAAGCAGAACACAGCAAACTCCAAGACCAATAAACACAGACCAAGACTCCCAACCAATCAGGATGAAGAAAAAACTATTCTGGCACAGCAGTAGGCTAGCCCCAAATTTAAAACTGAAATGGCTGTGAAAGTCTGACTCACAGACGAACACAATACAGAAGCCTGATGATCGCAGATGAGATTCTGCCGAAACGTTGCTACTTTAAAAGCACAACTATAATGACATGGGAAAATACCCGAACAAAGCTGAATACCATACATGCAAGTACCCGCGAAAACTTAAGAATGAATATATATATGTATATGTATATGTATATGTATATGTATATGTATGTGTGTGTGTGTGTGTGTGTGTGTGTGTGTGTGTAAAATCTTATTAAATTTCTTCTTGTAGATAATTGCTAGCTTTTAAAAACATTTCACAAGCTCTGTGCATATTTCAGTTATGAGGCATTTATGCTCATTAACATATTTAAGAATAATTCTAGCTGCATTGACTCCTAGAGGTCATTATTACATTTCTACAAGAAATAGAAAAGAAAAAAAATAGAAGACAGCAGCTACTAATTAAATGGAGAGCAGCCAATCAATAAGCAGGAGTTAATTAGGAGCAGAGATGAATGAACAAGTATTCTTTTTTCCCCTTGTCTCTATATTTAATTTATTTATTAATTATTTTTAAAAGCAAAAAAAAAAAAAGACCAAACAGAAGGAGAGAGGACAGAAAAAATAATTGGTACAGAAATATAATATCTATAAGTGGACAAGGAGTTACCAAGATTGAACAGTTAATGCTCAGTGCAATTTTTAAAATTAGAATTAACCATAGAAACATTACATTACATTTAAATACATTAAATTATTGTAACAATTAGAACTTCTATTCTGAGCTAGGATTTAGTGCAATCAGGGACTTAACATGTTTGAAAAAGTCCTGCTCAAATATGCAGTCCAATTCTTAATCACTGTTCAACCCATATTTTTTTGGAACCCAGATTGCATGGAGAATTCTGCTATATTTCAGGCACCTGTTCCTGTTCATGCAGACATATGAGATTCTTGTGCTCAGCCCTAAAAGGTCAGATATGGAGTAATCAGAGAAAGATTACCATTTCATGCCTCTGGCAGTGGTGGGATTCAATTTATTTTACTACTGGTTCTGTGGGTTGGCTTGGTAGGCGTGGCAGGAGAAGGATCCTGTAAAATCTCCAGTCAGAGGTGATATTTGCCGGTTCTCCGAACTACTTAAAATTTCCACTACCGGTTCTCCAGAACTGGTCAGAACCTACTGAATACCACCTCTGCTCTGTTGGGATTTAGTACTTAAATTAGACTTCCACACATGTAAACAAACACATAATCAAGTTATAAATTGTTAATAAGGTGGGGGGGGAGGAGAGAGTGGGGGGAATGCATGAAAACAAGCAAATGTATAGTTGCACAATACAGCTTTCTGGATTAACAAAGAAATATGAGGAACCAGCTCCCATGATCCAAAATTATACAGGATTCTGAAATAACCCTGCCTTAAGTATCATTGACCCTGCCTTAAGTAAAATCCCTCATGTGCATTGATTTCTGCTGACTCCACATGTATCCACAGTGTTTTCTTAGTAAAAGAATGGGAAGTGATTTGCCACAACTTTTTTCCAGGATGTTTTTATTGTGATGATCTCAAAAATGGCAGCCCTGAGATTTCCTGATAGTTGCCCATCCATATAGTACATTTTCAGGATCAGCTAAGAGGCTTTCTGTTTTGACAGTGGCATTAAAACCATGAGATACTGCAAAATATCCCATTAGACCTACTTTGACTAAAGCTGTAGGTTTCTGTCCTTGGCCAATCAATCAAAATAAGAAAGAAAAATAAACGGCCTTCCTTCATGCCCCTGTACACCCTACAATGGTGCATCTGTAATACCTCTTTGGGATATAAAGTACCTTTATTAAATTTGAATGACATTATCAGGTAGCTCAACATCATCTGATAATCTGATATTCAGAGAGGAAAAAGTATTGCTTACTGAATGTTTTCCTGACAGAAGGCCATGGGTAGGGTTTGTATTGCATCTGGATAACAAGGACTTTAAATATTCAGTGTTTGGATAACAGGAGACTTATTGTTGTGACACATACAGGTACAGACAGAATTCCTTCCTTTGATATTTTTTTTCATGGCAAACAACTGACTAGAAATGCCACTGTACCCTCTAATGAGGGCTTATAGGCCTATCACAGGTTGAACATGAAATTGTGCTCATGTCATTAAAAACGCAACTAGGCAGAAAACTCAGAATGGAGCCATTGACAAAATGCAAGGAGCGAGCTTTGTGGCTTATCCTTAATTAGGTGTTGGCATTGCTTCTTGTCAAACAAGAGAGAAAGAGTGTGTACTGAAGCAGACTGGTGCAAATACACAGCATAAGTTATAGTGCTGGAAGGAATATAAAGTGCATTCAAGCTAGCATTGAAAAGGATTTAGGTAAGCACTCAAGGTAACTAAAATAAAGCAAGAACAGGAGAGAAAGGGAGAGAGGATGACAGCAATAGCTTTAGATGAATTGCAGTGGGGGATGCTTTCATTACAGCTTATCAGTCTCTAGCCAGCAACAAACCAACTTTCCCAGAGCATTTCTTTTCTAGGTGTTTCAGATTAAAGGTCGAAGGAAGTCAGATTTATACGTTCTCTGCATCTCTATGCAGCATACGCTCCAGCTTCATTGGTATGCGAAAGATGAAACCTTCCCTTTTCTCAGATACAAAGGCTTCCTTCTTGTTAAGGCACTTTGGTTTCTTCCCCCAAATAATTATTTAGGAGAAGAGGGTGCAAACAATGCAGCATTGAAAGGTCACAGTAGTACTTTGGGCATAAATACACAAGTGACAGTGTGCTAGATTTCTTTGCTTGGAGTGTAGCCATCCTCTTCAGCTATTCATTGACTTCAGATTTTAAAACAGTGAATATCTGGATTTTATCAAGACTCTTTTAATATAGATTCCAGAATATATACAAAAGCTATATGTTTTACATCATTTTTCTATCATCTGTGCACATTTCAGTTTCCAGATGGTTGTTCTTAAGAAAAGGGTGTGTATGTGTGTGTATGCTGTATGTAT